GGGTATGATGGCTAAGATTTATTGGGATACAAAGAGGGGAATAAGAACGGCCTTCGCTCTACAGCTGCCCCTGTCCTGTGCTGCTTTCTAGCCCAAGGAAAATGGCGAAGCCAGTGATGTGAAGAATGTGAAGCTTTTGCTTCCTTTTCCTAAAGAAGGAGGGAGAGAGCTAAGCGCTTTTGAAAAGAGAGAGAAAGGGGGGAAAAAACAACAACGGAGGTGAATAGTTGAAAGCTGGTGTGATGGAACAATGAAGTTATCTAGCCTTCATTGCAGGCAGGAACTGTGAGAAGGGAAGGAAAAGAGGCGCCTTTGAACGTACAATGAACCCATTGCAGGAACCTGGTTTGATCAGGTCGCTCTTTCGACTAGATTTGCAGTGTTCCTTCCCTGTGAGTTTTTAATCTGTTCCTGGGCTACAGGTGTAAAAACAGACATTATATAACCTTCTTGCTGAGGCTCTTGAGACTCAAAGAAAACCCTATTAGATTTTTTTTCCTGGGGGGGGTGTCTTTAAGCAAGCTACAATCACCCACCTCCTTGCACACTAATCAGAACCAGGCTTCATCTTTATGGGAAAAAGGAAGGTTAACCTTCCTCTTCTAAGGGATGTAAAGAAGTGGTAATGTATGTGCAAACTGCATTTCCACACCCCAGTGAGAATTTCTCTCCTCCTGTCTTGCTTTTCCTTGTATTTGTGAAATGCATTCACCTTCTGTGTCTGAGGTGCTTCACCGCTTGGATGTTTTTCATTATTCAAAACTGAGCCTATGCAACTCATTTGCGCTGTAAGAGGAGCAGAAAAGCCAGAAAATGTTCCAACTCCCAGCTCATATGCCGGGCTGTGTTAGATGGGCTAGGGGCACCCAAATCTGCAAGGCATTTTCAGGATTAAGTGGAAGAGAGAAGAATTCACCTAGGGAAATGTGTTCCTCTGCCTACGGACCTTAGACTTACCGTTGAACAAATCTAGACTTGGAATATTGTGTTTATAGACCAGAGCTGGACTGTGGATAACATAGTGATGGATGTCAGAGGAAGAGGTCCAACTTTTGAGGGGTATTGGAGAAGAAAAGCAGATTTTGAAATATTGATCCATAGCAACCGGGGCAGAAGTAGATATTTAGAAGGAAATGATTTTGGACTCCAAACGGCTCCTTCAGCTCTTGACTAGAACAAACTAATTTTCTAGCACCACCAATAGAAATGGAGCTTGACCGCCTTTCGGTGAAAAACTGCTCAGAGTTTCTGAACCTGACCCAAAGAGTTTGTGGGATAAAATGAGAAGAGAATCAAGGGCAGGAACCAGAAGAAGCAGTCAAGACAATATTGTTTGGTTATTGGGGAGGATGGTGCCATCACTTGCCCTTCCTTGGACTTCAGTTTGCACCTTCCTTTTTTATTAGCTGAGGCTGCCTCTATTTTTCATGCTCACCTTGCATCAGTTTTTCATTCCAGCTCCCTTTCACTAGCACCACTATCCTACCTCAAATCTTTTCTGGGCTTGCTCTGTTTTAGCTATCAATTATCGAGACCTGAAATCAAATTATCCTGAAAGAAACCAGAAACAAATCAACAATATTGCTTGCCACTGAGAACACCTTTAGATATGCTTATATAACTAAAAATGAATCAATGAAGAAACTTATATTTGGTCTTTCAAGAACTTCTAATGGTATATTATCATTAGCATCATCTATCTATCTATCATGTATCATGTATCATGTATCATGTATCATATCTATCTATCTTTCTGTCTATAGCTATCTAGCTAGCTACTATCTATCTATCTGTCTGTCTGTCTGTCTGTCTGTCTGTCTGTGTCTGTCTGTCTGGAATAGAATTATCAAAACAAAAGCATTGATAGAGGAAGCCAATAAAAATTAGTCTCTATTTCCCTGCATTGCAGTCACTTTTCAGGGCAACAGCGACTGCAGCTACTAATCAAAGATCAGGGGATGTGTGGAAATCAACATTTCAGCTGCAAAGGCATTGATGCAGGGATAGGCATTATGGGGCAGGGTCCACGTTTGAGACCAACTCGTGGTCCCTCTCCCAAACTGGCTGCCAGAGGGAAGGCTTGCTCGTTGACCACCTGGCAAGCACAATAGGCATGGCAAGGCACAACAATTTAATAATTTGGATGTTTTACCCACCCAGGTTAGTTGTAGAGTTGGGCAATCTTATAAATTTATAACTAAATCTATATATATATATAAAATAGATTACCAAGAGGAAGATTGCTCAGTCTTGATCATCTCTGTCCTTTTTCAGGGCTTGGTGCTGCCACTTGTCCTTTCTATGAAGCCCAGTGGGGACAACCTGGTGAGGGCAGAGGCAGAATAATAACAACATCAGATGGAGCAGGGAGCTCAACAGGTACCAAGAGGAATGACTGCAGGTCCATCGGTACCTACTAGAACTGCCCTGCCTCCTTGTGATCTACTGCTGATTGCTTTTTGAAAGGCTACTGCCTGGATTTATTTCCAACCCAAAACAAGAGTTAGGAAAACAGAATTATCCTGGAGGGAGGTCGAGAAGGAGAAATCACATCTCACAATTTGGTACTCTGTTGTTTGGATCCATCATGTCTCTCTTGACCTTCTGAGCAGGTCATGCTTGAAAAGCCTGCAGAGAAATGTGCTCCAGAACCAGGGGGAGATTTCCTGACACAGTATGTGTTCGGTAGAACAGGATGGAATCAGCACTGGAAGATAATTCCTTAGCCATCTGTCCATCTGTTGATGCGGCAGCAACTGAGAGAAGACATCAGGATGGAACTATCAGATTGGAAACTATCTTTAAGTTCTCTAGTCCGACCCACTGATCAGTGCAAGAATCCACCAAACCGTCCCTGACAGAAGGCCCCGTCCCATTTAGAAACCCTCAGCAAGGGGGAATCCACAACTTTCCTAGGCAGACAATCCCACTGTCTTACTCTTAGGAAAATTCCTCATCCTATTTAGCCAGTCTTGATTTCAGACTGTTGGTCTTTGTCCTGCCCTTGGTTTCAACACAGAACAATCCACTCCCTCTTGCATGTAAAATATGTAGACCACTATCCATAACTCCCTTTCGTCTTCTCTTTTATAGACTAAATGTCCCCAGTGATCTTAACTGCTCCTCATAGGTCTTGGTTTCCAGACCTCCTAGTAACTTCTGGCTTCTCTATATTTTTTTTCAAGGACCTGGATCCCAGCCTCCAAATACATTCCAACCAGCACAGAGTACAATGGAATTACAACCCCTTAGGATCCAAATGCGATGTTTTGGTTAATGCCACCCAGTCGTAAAATACATTAAAGTGTTTTTTTAACAGGTGCGAACGTTATTAGCACGCCAGCAGGATCTGCCAGCCTGATTAATTACTCATAGTATTTACTCATCTTTCAGCTGTCTTGGTATCATTTAACAAGGGAAAGGACCTCTGAATGGAGACCTTTCAAAGCTGGTTTTGCATATATTTATTTTTGTTTGGAGAGTGCTAGGCCAAGACTGCTTTAATTGAATTATTGCAAACCACAGGCTGGTAATAAACCAACCAACCAACTGAAACCATACCGAACAAACCAAATAAAACAAAACATTTTGGAGGTTGCTTTCTGGTCTAGGGGATGGTAAAAACAAGGTCTGGACTGTGAGTTCCTCTATAAATTTAATAAACAGGAAACAGACATCCCTGAATGTGGATGTGTTTTCCAAAGGCTGAACTAACTGTATACACTTGAGGTTTTGTTTTGTTAGCACCAACACCTTTAACTGCAAACAAGGACAAGATTCCCCACTTGCCACTTATATAGTCTTCTAAAGCCATTCGACCATCATTGTGCTGATAATGTACAGGCGATGACCTTGAAGAAGGTATGTGGCAACTGTTGGGAAAAAAACAAACTTAGCCCAGGAAAACAGGAAGGTGTGAGAAAGAAACTCAAGATTGTCCCACCCTGAATTTCTTTGATATAAGAGGGAAGGAAGGAGAAACAGTCAGGTTTTCAAGATTCTGTTAGTACAGCCTCTATCAGTAAAGTCAAGTCTAGTATTTTTTCTGGTCTTGGTTTCCTGACCTGGTTTACCTTGAAGGGTTGACATGTATATGAGAGATTGGGGGAAGGTGGGAAAAAGACATGTCAGCCCCACCAGGTAGACCAGACCAGGAACTCCACAGGAAGGTTAAAACTACTGTAGATTGAGATTGGCTATAAAGACAGAATCTTACAAGTCTGACTGTGCTGGACCTCCTCCCCCTTCTTATACTCAGTGAGTTAGGGAGGGGTCTGCCTGAGCCACTTCTGAACATTATCTTATTGCTCTGAACTGAAAGTATGTTTCGGTCCCTTTTGCCTAGCAATGGCTCTTGCCTGCTTCCATCAAGGTCGTCTTTCTACAGGAAGAGTGTAGATATGAACAATCAAGAGAGAGCAGGCAAGTCCCTTGGCAGCTGGTCTCATAGATGACAACCCAGTCCAGGTGACCAAAAACCTGGGAAGAAGCATTTCAAATCATTCAGAGGTACTCCATCTGAATAAACACACTGTAAACGAGGATTGGAAATTCCTCTTGCAATTCTGTATTTACTCTTGAAAAGCATTCATTCTTGCTCCCTTTGTCTTGGCCAGCTTTGTGGGACTTGAGAATGTAGCAGCGATTTAGGACAGGGTTTCAATTGCGATATATAAGGGAAGCCATTGCCTTTCAGAAGTTTTGGGCTTCAGCTCCCATCATCCTCATACCCCATGGTCAATAGCAGAATATACAAGAGATGGGGTCCATCAGCATGCTTATGAAAAGGTGGAGTCATGGACCAGTATATATTCTTCATGGACAGGGCTGGGTAAGTAAAGCCTAATCACTTTGAGCAATGTGATGCCCCACAGGCACTAATGCACCTTGTTCAGGCTGACGTGATGCTTCTGGGAATGGCCACTCAAGGACCTTGAGTGAAAAGATGACCTCTGTGTTAAGCCCAAAACAAATATGTACTTGCACTTTGGAATGAGTGATCCAGAGGTGCCCATTCATGTCACATTAGCAAAGCTGTTCTGAAGCTGGAAGAAAATGGCACACCACTGCTTTGCCCTTGTTCTCGGACTGTTGGGGTGTCTTCTTCTCTCTGAGTGTGCAGGTTGGTTCCTTTTTCAGCTAAGTTTCTTTCGGTTGGAGATGAAAGCCTATATCTGTCACCCATTAAGGAATAATCATTTACAAGCCACATGAAAAAAGTTTAACTTAAAGCTTCGAAAGATAGCAGAGATGCTGGCTATACAAACCAACTCTCATTCATCACAACTGCGATCCCATACATAGTTACTTAATGGGATTTGCACGTATGTCACTGTGTATAAATCAGGTCTACAACCATAAAGCTTTGCTACCTCTCATTTGATTTATGTGACCTTAGCATCCATCCATCCCACAGAGTGCAGATTTGAGAAATACAAGCGGAAAAGGAAACAGATTCTTAAAGCATACTGCTGCACAAATGTCAATTTAAAAAATTAGAATAACGTTTATAATAATGGAAGTTAGCCCCAAATGTATATTTCAAATATAACTTGGAACATTTATAGGGACGCTACGCTAAAAGGCATCCCCAATCCATTGGTATTATATTTGGTGAGAATGTAGTTCAAAAGGGCTAAATTATAGCCCTCATAAATTTCTAGGAATGTCTTTTGTTCGTTTTAGGTTATGCTACGTTCAAAAACTATTGCTATTGATAAGCGTTCCTGAGCCCCTATGGGGATCTCTTCTACTGGAGACGAGCGGTAAAAATCACTAGTCCAAATTGGAAAATTATCTTACTGGGGAAGGTGATGAAAAATTGCAGATCTGCCTTTGATTTCACCAAGTGTATTTCATAGTTTGGATTTTTGATATTGACCAGTGAGATCTGCAAGAAAATGGTACAGTTTGAAGATGTTCCCTGTCTAGATGAAGGCAGATATGCAGTCTTCGTGTGAACGTTAGAATAAATAAGAATGTTCGTTGTAATGCTAGTTAATTTTTTTGGAATTCCATTCTAAGCTAGCATAAGAGTGTGTATTGTTTTTTTGGATAAAGGAATATATTAAAGAATATATATATAATGACAGTCATGAAGCAAAATTGGAAAACCTAATTTTTTGGGGGGGCGGGGGCAATATTTGCCTGGAGAACATCTGTGTCTATGACCTCTCATTACTTTTCATGCTGAAGTTTTTCTTAATCAGGAAAAGGCAAGTTCTATCTTGCACCGATATAGAAGGTACAATTCTGGAGGTTTGGAAGAGTTTCGTCAAGGGAATCTTGAACGAGAGTGCATGGAAGAAAGATGCAATTATGAAGAAGCTCGAGAAGTCTTTGAAGACGACGTTCAAACGGTGATTTACAAGAATCAGGAGAGCTTAATCTCTGTCCATTAGATGGTCTTCTTTCTTCTTCAAGATTCTTCTGGCAGGAATTGTGGACAGAAGTGAAAGCTGGCTTACCAGTAATGGTTGGACAACTAACAAAATTGATACTAACCAAACAATTTGGTAGTTTCAGATCATGCACTGCTGGCAGATAAAAATAAAAAACTATGGTTGTATTTCAGAAAAAATTGATCATCCCCAAACTGTTTTCATAAAATGTTATGGGAATAGTTTTAAAGCATGCCATCGCTTATTAGTCAAAATCAAAAGTTGATAGGACTGTCCACTGCTAATCTGTTACATGCAGATATTCTTGCCTTTTTTTCATAATTCATTCTGGATTATTTTTTACCTGTTTTCGTTAAAGCCTTTTTTTTTTTTTGCTAGGCATGGGGAATTGGAAGGAGTGCATGGGACTCTAAAAGTCTTGGAAATGTATTTATATATCCAATTTATGTGCTACTGGATCACAGTCAACTCACAGTGGTGTGCAGCAATATAAAATACAACAAAAACTCTGATAATAAGAGAAATAAAGAGAAAAAATAATGTACCAATAGACTAGCTAATCAAATCTGGCATGCTGATGGCATTGAGTCATTCTCCAAAAAGTCCCCTCCATGGTCTTCACAATCTTCCAAAGGCCACCATTGAGAGGCAAGACTATCTTCTACAGGAAGGTTGTTACATAGCCACCATCCTGACTTTTCTGACCCCCACCCTGGACACCTTGGTGGGGGTGCCATAAGCAGCTTCTTCCAGTAGCATCTCCTTGGGTGAACTGATTTGAGTTGGAGTAGAAGGGAGCCAAACTATACAGGGCTTTCTAATTCAACACTAGCCCTGTGAATAAATTGCACTGGGAAATCTATGCAATTCGTCAAGGCATAGCTTGCAGAATAGGTACAGTGTGACCTTTGTGACCCGCCCCAATCAATATGCAGAAACCTTATTCAGTATTTCTTGAATGTCTTCAATTTTTATTTATTCTTCTAAATACATATATACAGCAATAAAGTCTAGAACAGTGTTTCTCAACCTCAGCAACTTTAAGCCATTTGGACTTCAACTCCCAGAATTCCCCAGCCAGCCTGGCTGGCTGGGGAATTCTGGGAGTTGAAGTCCAAATGGCTTAAAGCTGCTGAGGTTGAGAAACACTGATCTAGAAGCTTTATCTATGTTTTAAATCAAAGGAGACACTCTATGACCAGGAGGACCTTCTCAAAGGAGAGGGTCTGTATATGAGTTGCCTCATTTAGGGACATGATTAGGGCAGGGCGTACCTGACAGAGAATGGAATCATTTCCACAAATAAACTCTGGGTCTGAATTTTAATATAAACCTACTTCTCTTTGAATGCAGTGTTGTAATTGTTGTTGTTTTTTTTTGCAGGCGGCATTTTGGAAGACATATTTTGGTAAGAGATCCTTCAGAAAACATCAGCACATATCTAGCATTCTAGGTCTCAATGCATAGAGGACCGTTGTCTTCTCCTCCCCTGCCCTCATGGAGCACCTTACTTTTTTAGCTGGCCAGTTTGGGGTAGCTTGAAAAGAAGAGACCATTCAGCTGTGTATCATAGACCCACAATGGACCCTCAAAGCCAAAAACTTCACCAAAAGAATAGAGTGGGAATGTTCCTTGCAACATTGCTTGATGTGCCTCCTGCCACATCCCACATGCTCTGGGAGGATAAGAACCATGGTCTTCCCCCCCCAAAAAACAACAAAAAAAAAGTCACCCATGCTAAAGGCCCTCGAAGGCAGATAGGTGGGGAGCTACCAAGTGAGCAACAGAAAGCAAACACTTCTTCCAAGATCTAAAAAACCTGCTTGAAGACATTTATTCTCCCCAGTCCCTTGAGCAATTGGCAGCAGCTGACAACAAAAACAGGTGCTTTGGAGCCTCAGCAGTCCAAACCACGAACTCAGCGTAACTCTTAAAATAAAATATCTAAGCAAGGAAGTCAATGGGTGTGGAAGCAGCAGGTTGAGGCTTGTTCTCCTGCTTTTGCACCAAAAGTTTTAATAAGTCTTCCAGCTTCAGCTGTGAGCATACTTGAGTAGTCTCTGCCCCCTTCCTTGGCTCTCAGTAAGGCAGTGTTGTCCAAACTTGGCCACTTTAAGATGAGTGGACTACAACTCCCAGAATTCCCCCGCCAGCATGGCTGGCTGGGGAATTCTGGGAGTTGTAGTCCACTCATCTTAAAGTGGCCAAGTTTGGACAACACTGCAGTAAGGCTTTCCAATACAAGGCAGCAGCTCTCTTCTCTGCCTGGACAAGAAACTGAGTCCCAGCCAAGCTGCATAGAAGGGTGGAGGAGTTGGTTTATACAGGCCTGAGAAGGATAAGCCAGCAAGCTTCTCTTTGTAGTCCTCTGACATCTGCCCTCAGCCTTCTTCTTCAACCCCTTACACCTGCTTGTTCCTCAGAGCAGCCTTGAAACTTAATGAGCACTGAGTCTGCAGGCACTTATAGTCTGGAGCTGTGGCTTGCTCACAAGGAGGCTGGTGTTTTCCTCTCATCATACCCCCAGTGTGATGGCTCTGAAGGTGGGAATGCTCTGAAGGTGGGAATCCTAGATTCCCAAATTCATTCCTGAGATTCACTGTATCATGCACATCCACTAAATAAAACCAGGTAAAATTCCAGGTTGTGTTTATGTCCCAGAATTAGGGGATGACATCAGGTGTCTGGATGATTGGTGGCAGGAAGAACTACTAAGCTCTACCATAAAACAGGAGTCAGGAGCAGGGTACAAAGATTCAGAGGGCTTCTGGGAGCAGAGGTGGGAGACCTCCAGCCTTCCACCTTGTAGGTCTTGTGAGGAAGGTTTTCATCAGGGGGAAAGTCCCTTTGTGAAGCAGATTCAAACCTGATTATCCGATCGGCAACTTCCTTGTCTCCATATCATCCCAATAAGCTTATTCTTATTTTTTCCCTCTCATCATTAAAGGTACTTGCTCAACAAGCAATGGAGGTTGCGAACAGCTTTGTAGAAATGACCCATCAGGACAGGCAGCTTGTTCCTGCGCTGAGGGATACAAGCTTCTAGAAGACCAGAAGTCCTGTGAACCATCAGGTAAAAGACCTCGGGGCAGTTATTCATCTTCAAATTGAGAATCTCCATTGCTCCTGATGCGTTGAGGCTGCGGTTCTATGATAACTGATTTGGCAATTACATGTATTGCTAAGATGGTTTGACCCACCAAGCCAAGTCCTCTGATTGGATACAGCAGTGACCAAGCATCTGCAAACATTATCCTGCCTGGCCACCACCTAGTCCTCAGAGGAAGGGTGCTGTGTGGCACCATTCCCATAAAAATCAGGTGATTATCAACCCCAACTCTGTTCTAAGCTTGTGTTGGACTTAGATTGTGGCAGGTTAATTGCTTTCTGATGGAAGAGTGGTCCCATCTTCTCCTTCCAGGGCCCTTTTCTTGTGGAAGGGTTACATTACCAGAGCCCATAAAACCCAGAGTCAGTCCTTCACAGAACCTGAGCTGCATCAACAGTACCGAAGGCCACCAAGCACAGATAAACACTGCTCAGATGACCCTCGCAAAAACAATTCCTAATCGAGACTGGCGCCATTTTAATAGCAGGAAAGGACAGGTTCCATGGCAGGTAAGAAAATTAAATTAGTGGTTCCATCACATGCTCTGCCTTCCTTGAGGTCTTGTGGAGAATCCATCGAAATGATCAGTTGTCTGGGTTGAAATTCCAGTGGTATGTAGGCAAAACTTGGGTCTACCTCTTGTTTTCCTTTAAGAACCCAAGAGAAACATCTTTACTCTTGGATGAGGAACTAGAGCAGTGTTTCTTAAACTTGGCAACTTTAAGACAGGTAGACTTCAACTCCCAGAATTCTGGGAGTTGAAGTCTACCTACCTCAAAGTTGCCAAGTCTGAGAAACACTGAACTAGAAAGTGCTTGGAAGGGATGAGGGTAAACAGGTTGAGATTTAACCTAGGAAAAATACAAGTATTAAGGGGAGGGAAATGTTCAGCCATTGGGGCTGTCATACTTTTTCTTAACTTGCCTTTTGGGGATTCTGATTCTATTTACAATTGCTGCAATTTATGATTTGTTTAACAGTAGTATTTCTTGCCCCAAAGTACATTGCCATGGGGGGATTAGACATCTAAAAATTCTCTCCCCTGGCTTTGTCCATTCCCCACAATCTGGCACAATTTATCTGCTCCCAGGTTTATATGTTCAGCTTTGAGCGGAAAGGATTCTGCGAAGGGGTGCTGATTAGTGATAAATGGGCCATCACAGCAGCACATTGTCTTGAGTATAAACCTCACACCATTGTGGCAGGTAAGCAGACAATCATCTAGAGAGAACTGGAGTTGCTGCCTGAAGCAAAGTGGTAGAGAATATTGGTTCAGTGTGACTCTACCCAAACCCAATGAGGGTTGGAGGAAGTTTATTGTAGCAGAAATAATTAACAACAGCCACGTTGTATAAATTTGAATGAGAGGCTTAATGTAAGATTAATGGCTCTTGGGGCTGCTGATCCAGAGCAGAAGTCCTAGAACAGCACTGCAACATCTGGGCTGCTTTTGGAATGCAATCCTTCTGTTGCTTTTACTTTTCACTCTTGACCCTCCCCCAAAAACAGTGGGGAGAGAAATGGGTGCAGGTGGTAAGCCTCTCTCTCTCCCCCCCCACCCCGTCTATGATGGGTTTGATCTGAATGTGATTGGGCCTCCATGAATTTTTAAAACTGAAAGGGAGAACTTCACGTTCTCCTTGGAGGTGATGGGAGGCAATCAAAGATGTCCACTCCCAGTTTGAGCAGATCATCTGTGATTATGTGCTGCTGGAGCACAGGGCTAAACCTTTATCCTAGGGTTCAGCTTAACAGGGTCAACCATGTCATCTGACCACAGGTCCTGATGCTTTCTCCTTCCCCCCCCCCAAAAAAAGTGTTCCAAACCTTGCTCCTTCACTTGCCACTTATTTAGCCCTAGATTTCTCTTTTGATGTTCAACCACCTCACTGAGTTGTAGACCCCAGCTGTGGGCGCAAGAGAAGTCTCCTAGATGTGATGCAGCTTGGTCAGTCTTAAAACACGTCTAATGTGTTTTGTTGTTATTCTACTGAATCAGGAGAATATGACACCAACTCTTTCGAACACTCTGAACAGCTCCGACGAATACGGAGGGCGGTCCAGCATCCTAACTACAACAATGCTAGCAAGTATGAAAATGACATTGCTCTTCTGGAGCTAGATAGGCCGTTGACCCTGAGCAAATACATCATCCCAATTTGCGTTGGGAACAAGGCACTCACTGAACACCTCCTGGAACACGGAACAAGCAGCGTGAGTGGCTGGTGGAAGCTTGACTATTTACAGAAGACAGCAAATATCCTTCAACAAGCAGACATCCAATATGTTGACCAGGAACAATGTCTGCAGAATACCGAGGACCATCTTTGGCTTAATACGTTCTGTGCAGGCCACCCTAACTTTGTTAAGAGGGTCTATTACGGAAACAGCGGAGCCCCATTTGTCACAGCCGTTAACAACACTTGGTTTCTAACAGGCATCGCCACTTGTGGAGTGCAGTGTACTGGGGACAAGCCATATGATATCTTCACTTCAATAGCAAATAATATTGAGTGGATAGAAGGTGTGATAGGGGAGCAACATAAGGAAGGTACATAACAACGTCTATCAAGTCCCCACTGATCATGTGAGGGAGGAGAGAGCTCTGATTCCTAATTTCTTTCTCACTTTCATCTAATTAAAGTACACACACAATTGATTGTGCTTCATTGGGGGGGGGGCAGAGGGGAATCATGGGCACTGAAATAGGACCTGATTTGCACAGCGATGAGCTGGAAGCCTATTAAAAAGTAGAGGTAGCAGAGCCCAGTGGGAATAGCCTTCGGCTTGGAGAATTGAGACCAATTTTTAGTCCCGTCATTATGAGTCCATCCAAAACTCACAACAGTATCAGTTTTCTAAGCACTTCTTATTTACCTCACTGGATTACTATGAAGGTAAAACACAGGATTGAAAAAAGATGGTGGAAAATTAGCATGAGAAATGTGTTGAAATGCAATCGGTACCTGTATTATTATGAAATATAATGAAAACAGAAATTGCAACATAAAAAAGCACCAAAGGAAATGTTCTTATTGTTTTAATAATGTCAAATCATTTTAAAATAAAGATTTCATATATGCTTGCAAGGACGTTGACAGCCTAGATCCTTTTTATTTATTAATTTATTTAGAAAGATGCAGTTTGGAGTCACCATCCAGGAACTGTGACCCTTCAGAGCCTGATACAACTTCCAGCAGCTTTGGCCAACCTGAATCCTGGCAAGGGATGCTGGGAGCTGTAGTCCAAGAACATCTGGAGGGCCACAGGTTCCTTAACTTGACTCTATATCATCTCACAGCTCCTTAAAGTCGACAACAGGGATGTGAGCAAAGTTCTGAAAACCAAAGGGTGGACCTACTGATTTGCAGAGTCTAGTTTCATAAAGAAAAATCCATCAGATTCTGAACTTGGAGGAATGCAAAAGGTTAATGCTGAAATCTTAGCTGTGTTTTCTAGGAAGAAGCTCATTCAGCAGAGTGAGACTTTCTTCTGAGTAAACACACATAGATTTGCTTAATAAAAACATCCCAAGTCTAAAAGAGTTTCAAGGGATAATATTAAACATGCCAATATTAAAACTGACAAATGTTTCAGGGAGCGTCTATCAACTACTATTTTTTTTGAAGTTGAGCAACAAGAAAAGCATTAAAAGAAATCTTTACATAAAAAAAAAAAGACCCAGCAGTGGAACCGTGAATTAAGTTCAAAAAAGAATAATAAATTATTGATAATTTTGATCCTTTAATGATGCCTCAAGGATGCTGCTTAATATTTGATCACAACCTTCTCCAACCCGGGGTGTGTTTGGGGCCCAATTTCTAGAATTTCCAATGCGGCTGCATTCACACACCACACTTTCTGTGGTTACTGCACTGTTTTCTAGGCTTGGACTCTGAACCATGAATGGCCTGGGTTCACCAAAACATGGCCTGACGGAAAACCTCATTGAGGTTAAAATTAACTAGGGTTAATGTATTGAGTGAATGCAGCTGCTAGGTTTTTGAAAGTTTTTCTTTAGGTGATTTTTACGGCCAAGAACCAAAGCTGAAGGATCTGTTTGTGACTGATCGGAGGAAGGATCTTGTGCGGACACAATCCTGGGAATTCTAGTGTACATTTTTGCACAACCAGGTGGAAATCAGCCGTACATTTCAAAAGGGGGCTGCCATTTCTAGACCTCCTGCAGATGTCCGTCCAGCGACCTTCCATAGAAAGATAACCACTGAGACCTAAAAAGAACAAATATGTACTTGCACTTTGGAACTATTGACCCAGCGGTTCCCTATCACTGAGCATCAGCAACATTGTTGTGAAGTTTAAAGAAAATGGCAAACCGCTTCTTCGTCCCTGCCCTCGGTCTGCTGAGCTCTCTCTTCCTCGCCGAATGTGCAGGTCAGTCCATTTTACAGCTAACAAACATCTGGGTTTCTTTTTGGCTTGGGTTAAGAGCAGAAGTTATGATAAGTTCAATAATTCAGTAATAACTCAACAATAGTTTGATAATCAATAGTTCAAAGCAAGGTGCCTGTAAGTGAGGGACAGAGAAAGGTGCACTTATTCACCCATAACCCATAATCTGAAGGAAGGAAGGAAGGAAGGAAGGAAGGAAGGCTCCAGCTTTTGTAGAAGTTATAAAACCAAAATGTGCTATCTGCCAGTTTTGTAAGCAAACCCAAGTTCTTTTTTTTTTTTTTTTAAAGTATTTCTAAACCAACAGATAAATACTTTGATCAAAGATTGACATAGTCACTCTCTGGAGAAGCAGTTTTTTTTTTTTTTTAATCTTCCCTGATAGAAGTAGTTGCTGCTTTCTAAAAATCAATTTAGAAATCCAGACTTTTGGACGTAGCTCTGATTATGCAACTGTGCTTGTATTCAAACAACAGCAACAACTCCAAGAAGGTGTAATGCAAAGATAGTGGTATATAGACCTCAGTTTTAATACATCACTTCTTGAGTTCCTAAATGTTTTCAAAAGCTGTGAAATGTAGATACTGTAGTTCCATTACTATTATCTTCATACATATAGATGATGTTCAAACAGACTGAGATTTTTGCCAGCCCTCCAAGGTAACTCAAAATTGTTCTGTCCCTTTGCAGAAAAAGGGGGTATCATGTGTGATAATCCTGCAAAGACAATGTTTGTTACCTAGTCTTCTGGAAGGCACGTGTGCTTTAAGCATAATATAATGGGTGGGTGGCTAAAATGGATGCCAAACAATAAAATTAATTCAAGTCTTCTGCTAAATTCAATCCCACCAATCAAAAACCTGGCTTTAGCAAGTCAGGGACAGTATTGCAAACTGGGAAATTCTGACTGGGGGCAAAGCAGGTTTATTTCCTCTCTTCTCCCCCCACTCCCCATGCTTCTGGGTCAGGTAAAACATATTTTCATGCACTTCCTCTTCCAGTTTTGTACATTTTTTTTTTCAACTCATGCACCTGTATGCCACCCCTTCATCTCCCAGCTCATATTTCTTCATCCCAGCCAGGGGAGGAACACTGGAATAACAAGGTATGCTGGTTTGTAGCAGGAGTTGGCTCAGAATTTGTTCATCTAACACACTTCAGGGCTGGCTAATCTGGAAGAAAGACTTTGTAAGTGTTTCTGATTCCCTGTTGGCCATGTTCCCTGCTACGATTGATTTGAGTTCTGAACGTGATGGACTGGGCCTGAACTGGTGTATGACAGCTTTCCAGGTTCCTGTCCTAGGACATGGAATCCTTCTCCTGACCATTCATGTGAAGTTGTCCAATTCTGGCCAAAGGTGGTGTGCCACAAATATATCCAACAGCACACAGAAAGGGAAATAAACAACTCTTACAGCAAAGTTTGCTACGTGCACAAAACACAGAACGAGCTCTCCTCCATAGATACCTGCAATTCCAAGCAAGTGTTGTGATCACTAGCCTCTGTTTTTATAAAATAGAATTTCTAAAGAAAATGTAAGTGGTTGGGCCGGGTTGGGCCAAACAGGATAAGTCAGCTTTCTTATACAGAAAAAAATTTTTTTTTTCAGAACATCAATGGCTTTTCAATCTATGCTGTAAAAAATGGTTTAGATTAGTTGCTTAAAAGAAGTACAACACAAAGGAAAATGGTTAGCTCTAAGGATCTCTTTAGAGCTAGCACAGGCCTGTAACAATGAAAAGCATATCATTATTGAAGTACTGAAGTATGAACTCAGATGGATATTTAACACAGCTGGGAGATCACGTTCCAAATGTTTGCTTCGGCATCAGTGGACCATTTGATTCATCTAATTGACATTTAACATCTACTCTTGGGATGAACTAGGCAAAGATAGTAAACAGGCTTGAATGTTATCCCATTTGGTTTCAGCTATGCTGAATGTTCTCTTTTGTTAATTTTAAGACGCTTTTATGACCAGGTAACAAAAAGCCTGACCCCATCAAATGTCAGTGTTTTCCGGGACCACGTTTTTCATTTGGAACGTTCCGCCTCTGGCTGCTCCGATTGTTGTACCTTATCTGGGGCAAGATCACGCTCATCTTATTGTGGGGAAGGGACACTTAGCTTTCTGCAGAGCATACAAAGCGCTTCTCATACAAAATGCGGCATCCTTCTAACAAATACAGCAGAAAGAGCTTGCAGATGACGTGCAGTTCTTATTTACTCCCCAGTACTGCAAACTTCTGCAAATACTCTAAGGGCCAATACAAATCCAGAGGGCTTAGCTAGAATCTCTCTTTCCCCATGATGGAGTAGTTGTCTGCTCTGGGGGATTTTTATGCAGAGAAATGCTTCAGAAGGACATAGCCCATCGGCAGTCTGGTTTTATGCAGTTGGGTCTTCACCATCCTTTATTTCAGGTGTAGATACAGGGTCTGTCATCCTGAAAAAAGCCTTAAGGTAGGCTAGTATCTGCGAAGAGAGA